GCTCCCTTAGCTCCTCTTGCAGCCGACCAGGAAAGGCACCCATGATCTGGGGCGAAAGGGCAGGGGAGAGATGGGTCGTGCTCCTCCCGAAAGAGCAGCTGCAGAGCCCTCAGCTCATCGCATGCGGGCGTCCACCTAGTGGAGAGGGCTTGAGCTCAGGCCTGCGTGAAGGTAAATGCAAATCATCCCCAGCGAGCATGCTTCCTGCGCAAGCAGGCTTTTCAGTATGCGCACCAGGTTTCCCCTGCCTTCAGCTCACGTGTTGATTTCATCTTTGCACTTTATGAGCCTGAGTGAGAGAATTCATTTCCTTCCTATAATATGACCCTCTGGAGAAAGTCTTGTCCAAATACATTTTGCTCACAAATGCTGTCCTTGAAGAAGACCTGTGCTGAAATGAAATAGTAAAAGATGATTAACATCTGATTTATAGGGAGGTGAATTAGGAGGTTTATGCCAAGTTATTATATCCAGGGAACGTGACAAGGACTGAAAGGGCACCTCCCAGAAGCTGGAAACCTTTGCAAGAAGAAATAGCTATGGTGCGTTTGCCTTTATCTCAGCCAGACTCTATTTTAATCTCTTCACCCATTTTCTCCCTTTTCTTCCTCACCAGACTGTACAATCCTTGAAGGCAGGGGCCAGGTTCACTGGTCTCCATATCCTCCAAGTGGGGATGTTTTTGCAACTTTATAAGAAAGAGGGATCTACACAAAGGAGGGTTTTAAGTTTCAATCCAGTAAGCCACCTCTTTCTTTCCTATTGGCTGATTAATGATCCTGTTGCCAAAGAACAGACCAAACACGGGAAGAAATGACACCAAGTGACCTTTGAGGAGGCAGTTTATTACACCAGTGGGTTTCTGACTAGGATCTCTCCCAAAGAGTCAGAGCCCCACCCAAAGGGGTTGTGGAGCTTTTAAAGGAAAAGTACTTCGGGAGGGGAGTACAGTCAGATTTGGTGCATATGACTGGAGGTTTGGGCACCATCATGGGTTGCTGAAGGAGTCTGAACATCTCAAGTTGCATTGTAAGGCCATCAGTTACACAAAGGCAGTAAAAAAACAGGGGTTACACAAAGGGAGGAATGTTCTGTTATCAGACTTGTCCAGATGTATCCACTGAGTTTGGTGGGCATTCTTGGCAGGCTTTCTTAACAGGCCTTTGTCTAAAATTTTAATTCCCTTTCAATCCCTCCATCCCAATCCAGTTCTCAGAGGCACCAAGGCCTGGTAACAACTATGACGCCATGGTCATCCTCTGCAAAAAGTACAGTCTAGAATCAGGCTTCTTTCGGACTATGAGTTGCATAATGAGTTTAACACTGGTAAGCTGTTAGTAAGTACTTTTCTGAACACTGTTGCCACTCAGAAAGCAATACTTTATGGCCTTTTGGTGTAGTGAGTAGCTTGAACTAAAGGATATTGGAAGGGCCTCAGAAACAGAGTGTCCCTCTAACCTTCAGCTTCTATCCTGTTTCCCAAAGTGAGTCACAGAAACTAAGTTCTTCTCCAAGGTAGGTTTCAGAAACAAAAGTCTCACTCCCCTTCAAGCCATAAAGCCTACAGAGGTCATTCCTCTCCCTTTTATTTTCTCTTACACTCTCATTCCAGAAGGATCCTGCCTCATACCTGGCTGGAAGGAATGCCACACAGAGAGGCCAAGAAGCATCTAAGGGGATAGGTTTTGCTGGGTTTCCCTTTCAGTCTGCTACCATTAGATGATGCCCTTTGGTCCAACTCATGTCTCCGCTGATCCCATTCATTGAGACTAAACATTAAAACATACAATTTTCTGTGAGTGTTTGGGTCTTAATCTCTGAAGACTTTCACATCTTAAAGAACTTTAATTCAACACATTTGTCATGTTTTTCTCTTACTAAACTATTAAACTACCTTTGTTACAAGTGTCAGCCATGACCCTTGTGATGGGTGAGGAAAGATCTCACACATTTATGCCCCTGTAGCACTTGCTTAGCATCATTTCATTCAATCCTCACAACCACCCTATGGGATAGATACTATGAGGATCTCATTTTAAGGATGAGAAAACTTAGTCTTGAAGATGTTAAGTAATTTACTCAAGATCAGAGAGTCAGTGGACATAGCTACTATTTACACTATACTCATAACATTCAACATTATCTCATTTCATAGGGCCCTTAATGCTTAAGAAGTGGGTTCTAGTGCTTAAAGTTTCAAGCATTTGGTCCTCTGGAGGTTAGAATTCACAGGAGTGTGGGGCTTTGCCTTAGTTACTTTTCTTGTTGCTGAGATAAAATACCACACATCCAAAGTTAAAAGAGGAAAGGTTTGTTGTAGCTCACAGTTTGTGAAGGTGTCACTTTGTAGTTGTCCAGATCCAAGACAGAGTAGCACGGCAGAGGGCCATCACAGAGGAGAAACAGTTCATGGCAGGCAGAAGGCAGCAAAGCAGCAAAGCAGCAAGTGACAAGTGGCAACCAGCATGTGACAAGCAGCAACAACGGCAGCCCTCTTTTTGTCCATTATATTTTATCCAGGGTACCTGTCCTTAGCACTCACTTCCTGGGTGGGCCATCCTTTATCCTAGCCTCACACCATGAAGCAATCCCAGAATCACATCCTTAAACCCAGCATCACACACTCTAGATCCAACCACTTCTGAAAAGCCCCACCTATGACCTCATGAGGCTTTGTGGGGACCTCTGAGCAGCCGAGATCCAAGAAGGCTCTAGGAAGGGGAGGATGATTCAGGGACAGAGCACCAACTCGAAGCATGTGGCATACAGGAGCAGCAGAGAAAAATTTTCCAAGAGCTCCTCCAGCTCTCCCCCACTTCTTGCCCTTGAAGTGAGTCTTACTGACGCTTGGCCTCCTTGGAAGAAAGGCGCTGGCCAGTTTCCTCATCTGTGGCAATAGGAACGCACAGAGAATACCTTTCTCAAGGGTGGAGCAGGGCCTAATGAGACAGCTTCTGTGGGAGCATTTGCCCCTTAGCTGCTTCCCTTTCTTATTGAAAATGAGAAGTGAGGAAGAGATCCTTCCTGGTTTGGCTCCTGCAGACCTTGGAGGGGGACTGCACAGTGATGCTCTCACTTGTTCCTGCATGGCACAGAGGACAAGAGGCACAGTGGCAGGTCCCCATCCACAGTCATGGAAAATTAGACGCTGTGGTTCTTCAACCAGCTTGTATCAGTCGTGACAGGCAAAACCAGGTTTTCTGATTCCAAACCACAGACTCCATGTGCTATCTAGGTCCCTTTTCTGTCTTGGCCAGCAGCCTCTCTCATAGATAGGAGTCTGTTTGTTTAATTTTTTAAACAAAAAAAATAATTTAAATGAATTTAATTTTAATGAAATTAAAATCTCATTTATTTAATTTTTGTTTTATTCATTTTCTATTTTAAAACCAAATATAGGGGAGTTAGTGTTTGAAGGATACAAAGTTTCAGTTTGGGAGGATGCAATAGTTCTGGAGATGGGGCGAGCATTCTGGTTGCAAAGTACCCTCTGAACCCTCCTACCTTTTATCTGCTCAAGACAGAAAGCGGGGAAATGATGCTGATCATGGCTCTGTCTTTTCCCTGTAAAGCCAAAGCATCACTGCAATCCTTCAGTGGAATTTTCTTACATCTCATTAGTGAGAACTTGGTCTCTCGGCTTTGCTGAGCAGCAAGCAAGGATGGCTAGAAAAGGCATTGCTTAGCTCCCCGAGTTTAGGGCTGAGGAGGAGCATCAGGGCAGAAGGAAACTGAGAGTGAGCACTGTTTGGACAACCTAGAGGCTGTGTCCAGTGCCTTGCTCAAGGACACCTGGGTCCATGGAGGTCTGGCTAGGCATGGGGCCAGCTTTTCTGATTTCTAATCCTGGAGTCTTTTGCTTGGATGTTTGGAGCATCTAGTACTGGCTAGAGTTTCACCAAAAAGGACTATCCTGAAAAATATTTCCAATTGCTTGTGTTGAAATTAATCAAATGCTAAAAGGTTGTGTGAGGAAAACACTGGGGATGGCAGGAGCCAGAATATCTGAGTTCTGCTCCAGGCTGGCTGAAAGTTTTGGGAAGCATCCTCAGGTCTCTGTGCTTATAAAATGCGATGATTTTTTTTCCTTGGTTAGTGCGGTTTACTAAGTGTCCATTAAATGCTTGCGTATCTCTAGATGAAACACCTTGTAGGACGTGTAGTTGTTACTCACCATGCATGTGTTGTCATGTGTGGGCTCATAACTCAAGGTGGTATATTTCAAAGATTGGAGCAGGATGACAGAAACTTCCTGCCACTCCTCCAGGCCAGGAGCAGAGTGGAATAAGGGCTGCAGGGGTCACTTAAAATCAGAAATATGAACAACCCCATTTAATTACCCAGCCCAAATATGCATGTGTAGATTTTCAGGATAGGTCACTATTCTTTCTGATCCCATCACTTGCTTTTTCCATAGAAGGGGCCAGCAGGAAATTGACAAAGGTCACACATCCCTTGAGCCCAAAGGTGACAGGTCCTCTTCACTACTGAGTCTTCCTGGATGACCTCAGGTTACATGGGTGCTTGTCTTTCATTCTCATTCCAGGGCATCATAATACTGATTTCAGAACTTAATGATATTGAAGTTAACTTCTCGGTTGTTCTACAAGCTGTTTTTCAAGAAGTGCCAGGAATACACAGTGTTTAGGTGAGACAACACAGTTGATTGGGACTTCCCAACCCTAAGAGAAAGCACATGTCCAGATACATGGCGAACCCTCAATAAATACTACAGCTGGACCTGTGAGATGGGCTATCCATGGTTCTGCCAGGTTAGTTTTACTTCGCAATGGTGGAGAAAGCATAGCATCAATAGAAAGTGGAAAAGCATCCAACCCTTAAAGAGGGCACAGAGCAGTTTGGTGCCATGGCAAAGAGTCCTGCTGGTCAGCCTGCAGGAACATTCCATGAGCTCAGCGAGACTTTGGAAATACTATAAAAGGAAAGAGCAGTTCTGCAAAATTGGAAATGAAATCACTTCAAGGAGGGCAATTCTTAAAGGATAGGGGGAAGATGCACCCTAGGAGACTTGGAAACATAGTGATCGGAGAAAGCTCAAAATATGTTTGCAAAGTAGGGTTTTTATTAGTTTGGCTTCAGAATTCATAAATAAATAAATAAATAAACAAACAGAAAACAAACATCATCACTTTATGGAAAGCACATCCATTACTTAAAAGTGTCAGCTGCCGAGAGTGAGACTTTCTGGTCCTATCCACGTGTCAGACTCGCTTATCCTGAGGCAGAAGTGATTTTAGAATGTTTCCTCTGCATCTGTCTGCCTTTATCTGTGACTATTAAGAGGCCACCTGCAATTCTGACAATTTTACGTCCTTTGCCAGAATTGTACTGCTTTCCCTCTTGAATCCTAAGAGTTTTTTTTATCTTCCAGACGCCTATGATATCTCTGTGCCACCCTCCTTGTGTCTTGGAGAGAGGTGGGGGTGGGGATACCCAGGGAGGCGGGAGCTGAAATTCAATTTCAGTCCTTTTGTTCATTCATTCGTCCCTTTAAAGTTCAGGCATTGAAGGGCTAAACTTGCTTGGAAGTGCAGGTGGCTCTGAATTGCTTGTCAGTGCCAGTTCTAAGAAGTCTTCATTGGAACAATTATTGATCTTTTCAGGCTTTGCCCCCTAGCTCCATGTGTCCATGTCTTTATGTAAATATCTCTTGTCTTCCCATTCATCACAAATATATAATAGTGCTGGCATCAGAGCACTGTGTCTTTCTAGTTGTCATAAAACCAATGTACCTGAAGCTTCACTTGAAAAGTTGTCAATATAAATAACACTTCAATTCACATTTTGCATCCAAGGGACTGATCCATATAGGTCAGGCCATGACAATATAAAACATTCAACACATCTTGGCACATACATGTTAAATAACAGCAATAAATTAATAAATACATAAATTACTTAAATATTTAAATAGCATTAAGGCCAGTGGCAATTGGAATGTTGAAAAATCTATAAATAAATTAGTTCGCTATGTCAGTATGCATTTAGGTTCTAAATATAAAAATACAGCAAATATCCTAAAAATCTTGAAAAACAAATCAGTGCTTGTTGGGTCTCTTCCATCATGCCTTTAAGATCTTTTGCCTGATCGCTTCCATTTTTCCTCTGAAGTTTCACCTTAGGATTGGAACCTGAAAAAGAACATTGGAAGTCCACAGGGATTAGAAATGTGCCAAACCCTTCCGATTTCTTACCATCCATTACCCAGGCCAAGGGGCTTGGGGAGCCACTTGAGAAGGACTAACGTTACCTCATGTTGTCTAAAATTTAGCTGCTACCACGCTGGCTGAAGCTGTCTTGAGGCTTTGTCTTGAAGGAATGCCCAATTGCATTACTTCCTTGTTTAAGACACTTCAGTGGCTCCCCTGGGCCCCCAGGATAAGGTCTTAATGCCTGGAAGCTTCTAAGGCCTCTTGCTCTGACTCCTACTTTCCTTTTTCTCTTTATCTATCCTTTTAGGAGGCCAGGGCCTATGCTTGCTTTCTTTATTGCACTATGCCTGGACTCAGCACAGTGCCTGACATAACGGAAGCATCAAATCATTATCTGTTAATGGATAATAAATATGTTTCTGACTCTCTTGTTTCTCTGTGGGGCATTCCATTCCTCCTCTCCTTTCCCAGCAGCTCCCACCCTGTCGTAATGCCTCCACCCAGGACACTGAGTGTGCCGGGCTGTGCAGGCCGGCTCACCTAACTGCAGGACACAGAGGCCCATTCGCTCCATGATGAGCTGTAGTAGCGGTCCCGGGCTTGCACCTGCACCTTCGCATTCTTGTGGCATGAAACTGTGGCTGAGGTCTCGTCAGTGAAGAGTCTGTCTTTCTGCAAAGAAGGGGGAAACCTGTAAGGCCCATTGCCCATGCAGTTGTATGGCAGGCCTAGCCTAATTCAGCAGACCTGACTTTCCTGACATGCACAACCAGCCTCTGGGCTTTAGTGATTCCCAGGAGACTGAGCAGAACTTGCACCGCCTGCTGGCAGGTGCCTGAAACACAGATGGGGCTCTGCTGCTTTGCAGCCTTGGGAAATGGTTTGGCTTTGCTTTCACCTTTCTGCACAGGTACCCTGTCACCCAGCGCTAAGCAGAGACAGATTCTCTGTAGCTGTCCCCTGGGTATTTAGAAATACCATCTCATCTGCTGATCCTTTCAGCACACAAATCCTTCACATCCTGCCACTGCTCATTAATAGCTTTGGAACTTCAGGAAAATATCTTAGGCTCTCTGTACCTTTCCTCATTTAGAAACAGGGGCAACAATGCTTATTTCCTAGAACTGCAGGAATTACAGAAAATAATCACGTAAAAACCCTGAGCCAGACTTCAGTACCTAACAAGTACCCACTATCACCCACTAGTGATATCTATTTCTTACACAGGAAGGTACTACTAAGATTTTAGGTAATATTTAGGTAAATCTGTTCCAGATGCATCCCATCCTCCCCAACGCCTTTTTTTCAGGGAGTGACTGAGTTTCTGCCACATGCTAAATGTTAGGCGGAAGGAAGGCCTTTTCTGCTGATTTTTTGAAAGTGGAGTTTAGGAAGGCTGTGGCTCTGTAAAAGTGTCTCTGGAAATTTGCAAGAGGCAAAAGAGTTATGTCACTAAGGTGAGAAAGTTGAAAAGCCATTGCTTTAGCCTACAGTGAAGTAATTTGGAATAGCCGTATTGGGTGAGGTAAGGATGGATGTTCCATCACTCATTGTATTTAGCCAGTTGACACAACCATTTTGGGCCCCTGGAGCCTGGATCTCCTAGGTTAGGATCAATTCTGGCATGAGGATTAGTGGCCAGACTGAAGCCAGCGGGGTGGGTAGGTTTGTGGCTTGTGTGTCTGGCAGACTAAGTCTGTGTCCTAAGTCTTTCACTTCCTAGCTGGATGACCTGAGACAGGTCAAGACCTCTCTGAGTTTCAGACTTCACTTGTCAAGTGGTGATAGTAATACAAGCGGTGCCATCATCAGGTTAATTGTGTAGATTAAATGAGGTATGCATGGAAGGTCCTTAGCACATGTGGTTCCAGCAAGCGCTAACACATAGTAGTGGTTATAACAATCATTCATCCCACCGCAGCATATACTGCATCCGGGTCACACCTTACCTTTCCTTTCTTTTTCTGGCCCTGGACCTGAACTGAGAATGTAAGGGAGAAGTAGGAATGTGGAGTGCTCCAGGTGTCAGGATACTCCCAGCTAACCTCCACCTGCTGAGAATTCATTAATGGCTTCAGCTGTAGGTTCTTTGGTGGGTCTGGTTTAACTGTGGAAGAGGACAAACACTGTTCATTTTCCTAGTGGGCTTTGGAATTAGGTGGTTTTGGTTTCTTCCTGCCCCCTTTCCCCTGTGAGTAACACCATCGTTCCTCAGCTTCTCTGAGCAATTGGCCAGCACCTGGGAGAATCCCGCGCTCTGCTGCAGATGATCCCACTGGTGCTCATGGGAGGAGGTCACATTCAAGGGCCATAGCCTTTGCTTTGGAACCCGAGAGAAGTTCAGAATCCTTGTCGCTCGTGCACCATCAGATGGGCCCTGGTGCTGGCACCACCCCGCGTAGTGCTCAGAAGAGAGCTCTTAGCAAGAAGACTCTCCTATCTGGGGTCTGCGGCGCAAGACCATCTTCCCCACACTTAACACATAATCGAGCTGAGCCGAGGCGCTCAGAAACAAGAGATTTTCTGCTTCCTTCTCTGTCTTTTGTCTTTTCATGGTTGCTGGCACTGACTTGTCTTGTGGCAGAGTTGACTGTCTCTCTGCTCATTCATTTTTTCCATAAATAATTACTGAGTACCCATTAAATGCCATCATTGGACTCTGACTGGAAAACATAGCAATGAATGGCAGGAAGATTCCATCCTCAAGGAGGGGATTGTCTGCTACTTCAGGGGAGAGGAGATTTTCCATGGAATGTGCACACCCTCTAGAGGCCAGCACTGCTCCAAAGACCATGTCTCCTAGTAGATGCTTGGCAAATATTTTTCTCGCTCTTCTTAATACAACTGACATCTTTCCTTTAAGTCTCAGCTGAATGCCATCTTCTCTAAAAAGGCTTCTCTGGTCACCCTGTGACCCACAGCCCACCCTCCCCACCTGCCACATGCAAACTTCCCACAAATTCTAGGGTAAGTTCTGTGATCCTGATCCTATCACACTTTATCAGGATGCTTGTTCAATGAGTAGACAGTAAGGAAAATGATAAATGATGAAATTTCTATCTGTCAATTAAAAGGTGTCAATTTTGGGGGATATATAAATTGTTTTCTGAATTCATATATATGTGTATATACTTATTTATTACACTGTCTGTATCATTTGGATGCTAGAGAAAGATGATTGCAATTAATAGAGACATTCTGGTTCTGAATATAAATATGACCAAAGCATTCTTGGATACACTGTGTCATCAATTTGGGTAGCAAGATAAAAGTGTAGCAAAGAGCACACTCTCTCTAGTGGGGCAGAGATAGCTCTGAATTACCAACTGTGAGATCTGATATTTGAGACAAACAGCTTAACATTTCTAAGATTCAATTTCCTCCTCTTTATAAGAAATGTGGATAATCGCATCCACCTTGTCCATTTTGGGGGAGGGGTGTAGAATCAAAGGGAATGCATGTAAAGCCCTTCCCCATCCAGCACCCAGGGCATTGTTAACATGTGACAAATGGCATGTTCCCTTATGAGTTGCACATAAGCATTTCAAACTCACTGATGTCTCTGATGTAGAAGCTGCTGGTGTAGTTTTCATACTTGAGCATGTGAGTCGCGTCCACCACCACCTCAATGGGGAGGCTCTCCTCTGCAGTGGGGCAGGCGCTGTCCTCCTGACACTCCACCAAGTACTTCCTATACTCCCTGTGGTCCACTCTGACACTCTCCGAAGAGGGTGTTGCTGCTCCACAAGTTACTCCTGAGAGGTCAGAGGAGCTGAAGACAAAGACAGAAATTAGCTTGTGTGTGGTGAACAAGTTCCCACTGACTACAGCCAGCAAGGCAGGTAAGGCCTCAACAGTGTGTCTGAGAATGCAAATTGTCCAGGTGGACTGATTTCTCTCCTTGGGGTGAGCAGCAACCTTCCCAGGGAGAACAAGCTTAGCCCTCAAGAGCTAGAAACCTATGCTTAAATACCTTGGCCTAAATGAATCTGGAAATGTTTTTTAGATCCGGAATATCTGATTACGTCCCTTATTAAATTTTGTTATTTTTTCTTATGTTAATAACAAAATCAATACATATACACCAAGTATAAAAATTACAATGTTAAAGATGTGTTTGAAGGAAATCTTACATGACTCCATCCCCTCTTCGAACCCTAACCTCATTCCCTAGACAGAATGGATTCCCTTACAAGCTATCTACAGAGGGTTGATTCCTCCAGACTTATTTCAGTGAATATTCAAGATAACCATATGTCTAATTGCATAGACACAAATGTACAATCTAGATACAAATAGGTCTTTAAAAATAAAGTAGGATCAAATTACATACATATGATTTTGTAACCATGTTTTCCCTCTTCGAAAATATTATGGTAAACTCTCCATGACAGAATGTACAGATTAGGTTACTCATCTTGATGAATGCCCATTAAGCCAGAGTATAACGTGCTATACTTTATTTGATGATTGCATGTAATGTTACAATGCACCTCAGACATGCAGCTATGTGTTTGTGCACTGGTGCAAGAATTTCTGTAGCCAGTGTTTTCATTTTAAAGATGGGAAAGCGAGATCCCAATGCTTAATATATTCATTCAAAAGGTGGCAAAGCCAGATGATTACCTGGGGTTTGCCCCATTGTCCTACTCTGCTCTGGCACTTACATGATGATTAAATTCAGTGACATACAGGGTTAACACATGAGCTCTATATCAATGGGAATTGGTGTTTTAGGGAAAGTTTTAAGTGTGTTGGACAAATAGCGATCATTAGACAAATTGTATCCACAGGAAAAAAAAGGGAGTAGAAGTGGCCCTGGGAAAATTTCAGGAGGCTTCACAGAGTTTTGCAGATTGTTTCATCGCTACCAAGGTCTATCCCTAGAGCACTTGTTTTTATTTTTGACTCAAGGTACATTTTGGCAAATCATTTGTAGCTTTGGTTTCTCCTTTTTATTTTTCCCCGTGGTGCTATCAGCCTTGACAAAGCCTTGCCAGGCAATTTGGATGAGTAGGTTCAAACACAGCAGAGACTATTCTCAAGAATCTCTAATGCCCTGTTCCAACACAGGCGTTTGTTTAGAGGATTGGCTTAAACACCCATGTTCTTTCTTCAATTTAGCCAATGGGAAAGTAGTTGAAAAGATCTGAGGTTAACTTTATCCTTCTCCTTATCATGAACTGATGGATAACTGATGCTTTACTCTTACTTTCATAATGAAATAGTTGCATCAAAACACTGAAAACCAGAGTGGCTTCACTTACCCTCTGCTGCCTTTGACACTGAATGTCACATCACTACTGACTGCTGTCAGCCACCAGCAGGTGAAGTGTCCAGAATAGCTCTTTGCTTCACATTTCACAAAGGTCTTGCTTTTGGGTTCTGGATTTGAAAAGAAAAAAAAAATCCAATATTTAAGGGTTTTCTTCCAGAAAGAGTTTGATTGTGATTAATCACTTTTCATAAAATGGTACAAGGGTGACATTCTCCCATTTATTTCCTTGAAAAATGATGCTGCTTCTCTGGCAGGTAGTTCAGTAAAAATTGGGAGTGTCCCAGTTGGATGCTGATTCTGAAGAGTATACTACTCTACACACTTAACACAATAGTGTTAAAATTTTTTAAGACCATCCCTCCAGTAATGAGTTATGCACTATACATATTGCATAACTTTCACTAGACACCCAATAGTATCTCCATTACTTGAACAAAATCTCAGTACAAGTATTCAGACTGACAGTTTCTTTCAATATATTATTGTGGATAACCCAAAATATTTTGAGAAAGGAAAGGAAAATGGAGGTTCTGGGTAGTTTGAGTAAGAGACCTCTGTTCATGCATTAACCATGCCTTCACATTTTGATTTTTAACTTTTGTATTGTTTTGAGGGCAAGGTGATAAAAATTACAGTATCCAAGGAATAAAATTACCTTTCTGGTCCTTTAAAATATCAGTGGACCAAATTTCATCCTCCTTTTTGTGGAGCAGCAGGAGCAAATGGCTCAGAACCTCGCCTCCTTTGTGACAAGTGTATTGTCCAGCATCTCCAAACTCTTTGACTTGGATGGTCAGGGTTTTACCAGAGCCTAAGACATCACTACTCCGGTTTGAGGTCCATGTGATGCCATCTTCCTCAGCAGTGTTGCAGGTAAGAACCACCGTCTCTCCAGGAGCATCAGCGTGCCAGTCCAACTCTACAACATAAACTGGAGAGCAGCAGGAGCAGAGAGAAGGCTATAAGCTAAATGAACTACTACAGTGTGCTTTATTCACTCTCTGGGCTCCCACCCTCCCTGAGCATAAACTTGTTCATAAGTGTTTGGCCAATGCTTTCTCTGCTTGGGCTCAAGGTCAGAGAGTGGAGAAGCAATTGAGAGTTTTATAGCTGTCATCGACTCATTAACTGGCAGGTTACCTTTGATAATTAACTTCTAATTAGTGGGTACATGGGAGAAAGACCTTGATATGTCAAAGATGCAAGCAGCACAAGATTCTTTGCCAAAAGTCTGATGGAGATAAACTTCCATAAAATTTCAGTTTAATGGGAATAAGGTAGTGTATAGTATTGAGCAAAGAGAAGTAGTGGTTAGGAGCAGTGGGAGGGTCCAGCAGCCACTGAGTAGAATTGAAATCCTGTCCCTGTTAACTGGCAGGGGTCATCTAGAGCAAGGTGTTTAACCACCACGAGCCTCAGTTTCCTCATCTGCCAAATGATAATAAAATTATAATAATAATAGTATCTACTTTTTTAGGCTTGATGTGAGGAGTAAATGAAGAAAGCATATAAAGCAATCAGCACAGAGTCTGCCAAGGGGTAAACTCTGTGTTAGTTGTTATTGTTATTCACAGACCAAGGAGTCAGCCAACTGCACTGAAAACCTCTTAAAATTTTCCACGGGGATGTAAGGATGTAGTTCCTTGTGCATGAAACTCAGAAATGGAGGGTTTCATGATCTCTATTTCTTTTTTTAACCCATCTTACATTCTTACGAAGCAGGCAGGCAGATCTCAGTCTTCCCGTTTTATAGAGTAGTGCCCGAAAGCTAAGGCGTTAGCCTATGTCATGCCAGTTCTGAAGAATGAGCGCTACACCCCGGACCTTCTTGTTTCTTAGGTTTTTCAGTGGATCTCTAGTGCCAGTTATCTAAACTGACGCTTGAGGAATGGCTCAGTATAGGATTACACAGAAGCGTCACATCAAGACTTCACTCATTTTTTGTTTTCATCCATGCATCAATTCTTAACTGGGTAAGGTAGTTAAGGCAGTGGCTATCAAAGCCTCGTCACAGCAGCAGTGACATCTCCGGGAAACTTGTTAGAAAGAGCAATTTTCAGTTGCTGAATCAGAAACTTTTGGGATGGGCTTGGTGATCTGGCTTTGAAGCCCCCATCCCACCCCCAGATGATTTTGATGCATTCTCAAATTTGATAGCCTGTTCGGTGAAGAAAAGTGCCGGCAGTCTGGAGGGACACAGGTCTGGATTAGAATCAGCTCGAGGCCTTACACTGGCTTACGCTTGTGCAGAGAGCATTCAACTACTTGAAGGGTGGATGCCATCATCTTTAAAACGAGAAAAATAATAGTACTTGTTTTAGAAAGCCGTCACATGGATTATAGAAACTAATTCATATGCGCTTTTCCTAGTGCCCTTAAATGCTCTCTGAGCAGATGGCTCTTGTTACTACACTTGGCATCCTATTGTGAAGCATTGTGAAATATAAAGTTCTCATAAACATCAATGGGATTTGTAACTACTGAGTGGGTAACAAGGATAAGAATCAAAAAGTGCTCGGGGCCCAACTCTTTGGAAACGATTAGCTGTGCTGACATAAGACCATACAGAGCTTTTGGCTTTCTCTAATTCTGCATTGTCCCCTGGGCAACTGAAGAGCATGTTGTGACAGTTATTCTCCTGTCATGACCAAGATTCAGAAGGCCTAGAAGACCTTGGCCCATGAGCAGAGAAAATGACTGCTAGGGAATGCTGGTGAGGAGCACTTTGAAGCCAGCAGTTGGCTGAGACTCAGAAGGTTGTTTCCCACGTCACAAGCCCGCTGTGTTTCTCACACTGACGTTCTGGAATTTCTGTGGTTTACCAAATCTGAAGTAACTAAGGAGTTAAATATGCAAGGGCCACTGTGAAATACTAGCAGAATAGAGGAAGCCCCTTATTCTACTAGTACCTGTTCTAGTAAGCTACTAAGAATTCTAATTTATCATTAGGATATAGACAGCATTTTAACCCAAATAGTGCTTGCTAAATTTTACTGTCACTTTACTACCTAATGCATTGTCTTCTACATTCATTAAGACACTTAATAACTCATCTGGTAGGTGTTGCTTTTCATACCCAGTTTATAGTTGAGGAAACTGAGGCTTAGCAGTGACCCAGCTCAAGTTTACAGAATCAGTAACTGGCAGAACCAGGACTTGAACCTAAGCCATGTGAATGTCAGCCGTGTGTTCTCTCCAAAGTGCTCAGTCGGAGTAAGCCATCAGCTGCCACCTGAGGGCATACTACCGTGTGGTGAAGTGGGAGATGATAGAGCACAGGCCCACCACTTTTAAAATACTTTGGAATTTTGATGGTGTGAAACACCTCGAAAAGACAAGGTCTCTTTTCCCACACAAAGCTCCTTTTCTGGCATCCAGAATGAAAACCAAGTGCTCTAGATGCCCTGAAAGGAAAAGAAAAAAAACATGGCTCTGCACTGTCACAGATGGTGGTTCTTACGAGGAGAACCCAAAGCGGAACAGCACATTGCAGTCCGATTTCTCAGCAGTGTTGCCTGTGTGTGAGCTCTGGCTTAGATGTAGGCCCTGGGCAGGGAATGAGGAGGGGCTGCTTACCATTTTTTTTCAGTTCCCACATGGCCAGGAGGGGCGATGCCAGCAACACCAGGGAAAACCAGGAGGTGATCAACTGCTGATGGCACATCTACAAGGAGAAGGAGAAATGGGAGGAAGAGAAAGAGAAACAAAGAAAGAAGAGGCAGAAGAAAGGAAGAGATAAGGTCAAAACTTATTCGGTTAGCTTTGGGAAACATGTTGATATCCTATCCATATTTTTAATCTCAACTTGCCCCTTTCTTCACACTGTTAGGATAATAGCAAGGGAATCACAGTCACCCCGATCCAGTCTCTCAATAAGAACATCTCCAAATAGAGAACATAGGCAACTGGGGCTGAACGAGATGGGTCTCCCTGTCTGACACAGTCCTCATATTTTTAAGATGAGAACCATACGATTACAAAAGGAAAATGACTTTCCTTGATCAATGTTCAGCATTGTCTCTTTCATACTTACTATACTGCCAGTGTAATTCTTACAAGGCATTGAGCTAGGAGACTTGAGAGTGAGAAGTAGTTTTCACTGATATCTTGCTTGCTAGGAGCAAATATTTTCACTCAACAAATATTTATTAAATCAGTGTATTAACTGCTTCCCCTCCAGTAGGGAAGATAAGCCACATACCCGGATCACAGTAGTATAAGGCAGTGTGTGTTGAGATGCTCAGGGATATAAAGGACTTGGGTTAGTGATAGAAAAGGTAATATAGAGGTGACTTTTCAAGCTCTGGTGACAGCATATAGAGGCTTAGTTTCTCTTGTTTTGACAGCAGTTGTCACAAATTCCAAAATGACTAGCTCGAGTGTAAAGTAACTCTGCAGTTCTCAAACCTGAACTTACAAAAGAATAACCTGACGACTTACTAAAACAGACTGCTGGGTCTTCCCCCCAGTGTCTGATTCGGTACACCCCGGGGCAAGGCCTGAAGATCTGCATTTCTAATAAGTTTCCCGGTGAACCTGCCTTTCTAGGGACCACACTAAGAAACAATGGTTTAAACCATGTTCTGGTTTCAGAACTCCTGAAAACCACAGTATTTTTTGGGAGACGACCATGAAATACTGATCTATTCACCATGAAGTAATGACGTGTACAATTTTGTGCTAAGTTGGCCACCACCTGATATTAAAACTCAGTATAGTATAGATTATGATCCGAGGTTTATGGAAATCTTTAGATTGTGAAAATTACACCCCACTTATAAATTAGATTGAGAAGATTATTGTTTAACTTTCTTCTGAAACACCTCTAACCACCTTGAAGAACAGTAGTACACAGATGGAGCGTGATTTCCAAGACCACTGGTCTAAGTCATATGAAGAACAAGACTTAAGTACTTCAGGTAAATCTCTTGGTTGGGAATCATGGCTTTGTCAGAACTGCTGCTAGCTCAGGAGGACCTTGTTCTGTGCTTTGCTCCCTTGTATTATAAACTCATGAGTGGCAGAAACAGGAGTAGAAGTTAGACCTTGTGTATTGCTCGGCGTACCCTTGTCACTTCAGATGGAGTGTTAGGAACCTGGTTTTCATTTCAAGCCACGTTTTGACTATAGCAAAGTAGTACTTGGAAGAGGGGACTGATTGTACACTCACAGGATTGGAGTCAAGCAGACATGGGCTTGAATTTTAGTCCCACCTCTCACAACTGTATGATGTTGGTCAAGTCATTATGAGCCTCAGTCTCCTCATAAATAAGATGGACATAAATAAAAGGGCTATGTCATCTCAGAGTGCTGCTGGGGGTACAATGACAGGACATAGTACAGAAGGCAACTACTGACATTCACTTGTCTCCAGAGAAGAGATAAAGGAAAAAATACATCTCACAAAAGTGTCAGGCTAGGCTATAGGGAAATGCCCATAGAGGTACTGCAATCACACGGGTCAGTAAGTCCCAGATGTCAGCACTCTGCCAAAGGAAGTGATGTAGGTTCCTGGCATCTCATTGTGATTCCTTTATACTCTCTCAGTGCCAGGGTTTTCCCTTGGGCTATGTGCCAAGCACTTCCTCTCTGCACCTAGCATGGACTTGAGCATTGCAGGTGAACTGTACTCCAGGGTCAAGGAAACCCTAGCAGTGCTCCTAAGAAACAATTCCAATTTTTGCATCGTCTATGGCAAAGGGTGAAGATCAAACTCAGACGAACAAAACAGGGTGCAGTGTGTGGCCATCGTTTACGGCCCTGGCTGATCAACTAATACTGGGAACTGTATCTCTCAGCCCACACTTTCTTGGCAAAGGAAGTTTGAGAGTCTTGATTAAATTTTTTTAATGCAATTTTATAGATTTTCTAAATTCCTGAAACCCTTGCATGAGGGACAAAGGGGCCCCAGGTTAAGCATTCCTGCTTCCTGGGGTGCGCTAATGTTCCCTTACTCCGTTACCAACATGAATGTGCCAGTGACACTTGAGGGGCATCACTTTTGCAAGTTTCACTTTGCTCGTAACTTTTAATTCAAAAAGAGAATTATTATTTAAAAATAAAAGACGTAGACCCAGATGGCATGGCTGACATGTAAAACACCCCAGTTCAGGAGCCATGCAGATCTCTAGAACTGGCATCTTGTTCTACCACTTGTTAACTGTGTGACCCTGGGGAGGTCACAAAGACATCTTTAATCCAAATGCTCTTAATCTGTGAAATAGGCACCTTGTTGGGGTGAGGTGCAAAGTGCCCAGCATGGTGTCGAGATGAAGTCAGGACCTCCAACTACTTATTCTCTCTTTGATAGAACTGATTACAGCGGTGATAATGTGGTTGCTTAACATCTGTATGTTCTGTGATTCTCTGGTCTCAGATGGCAGGGTCTGTGTCTGTCTTACTTTACACTGTATTCTCAGAGTCTAGCCTAGAGGGATTCCCCAGATTGTTAATAAAGCAAATGTGTAAAAGTCACTTCAAATCTTAGTAAAATGAACTTTAAGAGGTTACCCGAGTTCAGTCTACAATCTTAAAATTCCCTATTTGAGAAAAGTGATCCACCAGTGAGGGTTCAGGGATCCCTTTGTTGAAATGGCCATATTGTTGCAAACAGTTTTATCTGGGAAAATATCACACACCAGTACAGTAAAAATTATCCCCCCTGACAGGTTTTAGAACACTTCAGAAAGTAGTTGTAAGCATTACCACTGCTTTTCACTTTCTAAGCAGGGCCACAGTTAGTCAATCCAAAAGAACCAGAGAACCAACCTACCCAATTTCATTGATAACTGACTATAAAATCCATCAGAAATACAAGAGTAAGTATGGTCTGAAATGGTCAGTTAGGAGGTATAATAAGTTTGAATTTAATAACGTTTACAGATGCTTGGAAAGCTTTAAAAAAGTTTTCAGTACTAAGGTAAGCAGCACCATTTACATTAACTATATACCATCTTTTAACTGATGGAGGATGATACTTAGTTTTAGACTTTTATAAAATATATTTACTTTTATACATGTACACACAAAGACAAAACAAACCTTTCTATCCAATGTACCTTTGTTCACAGGCCTTGAATTATTACAATTGTATTACAATCATTACTAGCTGATTTCTAAAATTAGTACCTTAAACAATAGCCCTCAAAGTCCTTAGTTTTCACTAGTGTTCCCACAAGTAAGTCCCCAGGGATGCTCTACGAAACCATCCGCTCCATGCTGCGAGGTGCAGCGGTGGCCCAAGGCTGAAGGAAAGGAGTTAGGCAAGTGCTTACCTTGCTTTGGTGGAGGATGCAGGGTCCAGGGGTCCTGAAACTGTTGTTGGTGCTTCTGCTCTTGTTGATGCTCCTGGAGCTTATATACTCCACTCCTACTGAGCTTTCTGATGGAAAACCAAACTAGAAACTGACTTGTTGGAAGTTGCAACATGAAAAACTATTCTCAAAACCATCTAGGGGAATTTCAAGAAGTTCCTCCCCCCCCACCCCCTCTGTGTGTGTGTATCAATAATGCTCAGGGAAAGTAGACATCAAAATCCCAGGTAGGAGGAAATGGCTTTGGGTGAGGAAAAAGGAAGGAGATTTGGGATGCTTATTTCTTTGGGTTTACATCATGGCCAAGGCGCTCAATGAGCAGTCGGCAGCCTCCCTGGGTTCCACCGACTGGAAGCAGGAAGTTGAGTTTGCATCAGGATGGAGCAAATGTATGCTAGAGGCCCCAGAAGCAAAAGCCGTGGTTCTGTCTAATTCAAGGAGATAAGATGACGGGCAAACGCTTTAATGTGTGTGTGGGGGCTCTAGTCCCTACCAGCATCTGGACTTCAGACACTGTACGTATATAGACTCCTGCACGTACAGGCAAATGTGGGTACAGCAGAGACGTCCGGTGCTCACAGAGACTTGTTCACAGGCCAATGACAGCGGAAAGTGGAATAGCCACAGGCAAGCCCACAACCCATGCCACACTCACGGGTGTCCCTCTGGGGCACCCAAACTGCACCCTCATTTCACTGGCACACACATCTGCCCCGCGCAGGTGCACAGGGTTAGCGGAATAAAGACCTCTCTTCCAGCGGAATTTAAAAGTGCAAAGAGGTGTGCAAAGGTGTAGGCTGGTGGGAGATATTACACCCCCCCCAGTATTTGCACACAAGCGTTGGCTTGCACCAAGAGCACACAACCAGTGCGCTCTTTCCCCGAGCCGCCGACAGAGGGCGCTGAGCCCCGGAGCGCAAGACCGGCCGGCCGACTTCTGCATCTCCGCCTGGACCCGCCGCAGTGGAAGTTCCTGGGGCAGAGGCTGCACACAGCCAGTTTCGAGAGGGCTCAGGTTTCCGGGCCAACTTTCCTCTCGCGGGGGAGAATGGGAAACCCTGGCGAGAGCGGCGGAGCTTCCCACTTCCTCCCGCCAGCGGCTCGTCGCGGCCGGAGAAGGGCGGGGCCGCCGGGTCGGGAGTTCCAGTGGTTAGCGACCTCCGGGTTCAGGTTACCCCTTTCAGCCAGCTTGGTCTCCCGGGCTTCAGGTAAAACTGAAGTTTGTATCCAAGATACATTGTTAGGCGAACAAAGCAGATTGCCTTGTATGTTAATTGTACACTACTATTTGTAAGTGCGCTCACACACCTGCACTTTTCACAATCGATTTCTTGGGGCGGGGGAGACATTTTCCACACTTGGAGTTTTTGTTGTTACCTATAACAGTGTACATACTGAAATCTGTAACAACTGGGGAGGGCGGTCTTTCAGTAAAAATGTAGTAACCTCCTCCAACCAATCGCCAGAGGGTCCTGAACAGGAGACTTACTATGAAATTGTGGTGAAATAATTTGACTAATTAATACACAGTGACGGCATCACTACAGATGAGCCCTTGTGCGCCCCATAAATGAGCACAAATACAAAATAAGATGAGACCCAGAGAAGTATTGTATTCATGTATTCATAAAAACATCCCCAAAAATTTAGAAAATATCTGATTAGTAAAAAAAAAAAAACTCAATGAAAATGGTGTACTAGTTATGCAAAAGAAACTGCAAGATGAGCTGCTGTCTTCTGAGGATTGAGAACCTGGACAGTCCTCAGTGAAAGGTGTGGAATACCCCAGCCGTCCACTCCCTCCAAGGATAAACAAGGAGAAGGTGTTCCAGAGGTGGGCCCTGCAGTTGGCAGGATTCCAGGCCTTGCTCTGAATCTCACACTTGTAAAATGCAGTTAATAACAGTATCTGATCTTACGTGTGCTTTAACTAGGATTTCATGGAATGTACTTGGCGCAGCACCCTGGTAAGTGCTTAAGCGTGGCTACTTTTACAATTTTGTTATCCCAGAAAGATTTTTGTGGATCACAAGGGGACATCAAAATGACAAAGGGAGTGGACAGAGGGGAATTAGCGTGAGTAGCAGGAGAACTAACACTCCTTACGCAGTGAAGTTTTTTGGCTGTAGCTGAGCAGTCAATGAACTGTGTGTCCAGGCAGCCAAGAGGGGAAAGATGAGCTTGAGCCCACCTTATCTCTGCTCCATGGGCCTATTTGGATGAGTCCTGTCTGCCCATGGAGGATATAGTTCTCGAGCTTTACCTGCATAAAACAACATCCATAGTCAAATTCAGGGTCTCAAGATCCAAGCTCAGATCTCAGTAGATCTGGGTGGGACCAGGACCATGATGCTTACAATGAAGGCTGTGATGTTGTGGACAGGCAGTTCTCTGTGGGTACCGTGGCTGATACTTTGAGACACTCTGCATCCCTGTGTCCCACTGACTAGAGATGCACCCTGCGTCTTGCTCATCTCTGGACACTCCGCTGGGTGTCCAGCCATTGACTTGTGTTCTCAGAAGAAGTTTATTTGTCCCAGCTCACAGCTCATCCATGACCCAGGCAAACTGAGACAAAGCTCCAGAGCTCCCTAAGCTTGCCCTGTGGCAGGGGAAGATCTGCTGACCTCCAGCCACATGCTGAGCTGCCAGGTTAGTGTGACTTGTGATGAAGCCATGACAGGGAGGCCATCCTCCCTGAAACTGAAAATTACTTGCAGAATTTTTTGACCACGAGCACTCCCCTCCACAAATATTGCTTTGAACTTCTAGCACATACTTCCAATAAAGGAGAAGTCATTTAAAACATTAAAATGTTTAGAAAATTACACAAGTAATATATGTATGCACACTATTGTCAGAAAATTTTAAAATGCATACTGAATAAGAAGTTGAAGGCCTATTTAAGCGGCTCCTAGAGATAGCCATTGACAGTATTTTGCTTTATGTTCCTTCAGAGTTCCTTGGATCTTCTCTATGTATTTATATCTATCTGGCTGTATAAATGGGATCATACACTTCAAACATACACAGTCATATCACATTTCCAAGTCACTGCTGAAATGCACTGTCGTGGTGATGGAAAAGTGTCTGTTATATTTGGAGGCAGGAGCCTGCCTGAAAAAAGTGAACTTATTCAAGTTTTTCAAGTGTGTTTCAGATACAGATTTGTTGCTTGAATGCTTTGAGTGAGACTGCTAGTGTCTCCATTGCTTATAGACAGAGATGCCTTCAGTGATCTCCTCCCCCTCCATGGTGATGCTGGTCACATTTCTTCAGTGTCACCCTTCCTTTCTTGGCCCATGAGAGGAAGGCAGAGGCTGTTAGATGCAGTCACTGCTTTATTTCATTATCCAAGTGGGCACCTTCGGCCTGCACAACTGGATGGACTGCAGGGGAAGACGTAGGCATGAAGATGTTCCACGTTGGCATTGATTTTGCGATTTGCATATGGAAATCTTTGCCTTTTCCTCTCTGTAATTCTTTGTTAATTCCAGTGAAAGGAATGGGTGTGCTGGGGCAACCAGAAGGAAGTGGGTGTGTTCTAGAAAGGCTTAGGCTAGGAAGGTGTGGGAACGGGTGGCCTGGGCTGGCTGTGAGTAGAGCAAGTAGAACAAGGCAAGAGGGAGGGCAAGCCGGAGAGAGAAGGTGTGTGGGGCAAAGGCCTCCTCTGGACTATCTGAGACTCCCCTTTGCAATCTACTCTACCCTACAGAGATTGACTTATTAACTGGCCACCCCTGCATTTGTAGACGAATTGTTAAACCACCAGATGGTCAATGGTTTTCCAGGAGAAGCAGTTTGACCAAATATGAGGACCTGACATTCGCGCACTTCCGCTGTGATTCTTAATCTGGAACTCACAATTGAGGCTGTGTGTGTTTCTCTGCTCATAGAGAATGTATATTTATCCAAGATTCTGTTGTATCTAGGCCTGGCAATCTGCTCTGAGAGATTACTGATGACCCCTGGTCTTCTGCCCTGTCATTTTCTCTCTACCTTTTGGTTTTGAAAATCTTATCTGTCTATCATCTTTATTTGTTCTTGGTGAGTTACTTTAACTCATCTCCTTGGCGGAGAAAGAAGAAAATCAGGGAAGAGGTGATACATGCCTGTAATCCCTGCTACCGGGAAGCGTGAGGCAGAAAGACAGAGTTCCAAGCCAATATGGGCAACAAACAAACAATAAACAGTGCAAAGTACAATGACCTTTCAGCCATGCTCCATGAACCTTGGAACTCGTGAGTCCCTCAGCACCATCCGTCATGTGAGGCAGCCCTATAATATGCTGATAAAGTGAAGAGAACTCAGGTTGGCAGAAAAGGCATTATCCTTGGCTGAGCTGTGTGTGGAGCCAAAGGGATAAATGGTCTTTTAAGTGTTAGGTTTGGCACTAGACAGAACGAAAAACACAGATAGATAAAACAAGCCTTTATTGCTGGCTTGGGAGGGTTGCAGGAGATTGCAAGGACCCTCGGAGGAGCGAGCTGGGGAATGGGTTTTTATTATAATAGACTAGAGGTGGAGTTAATACGGGCAGGAGGTGTGTCCTATCTTCGGGGGATTGGGAGTTAGCTGGCGCATGCGCAAAAGGGAGTAGGAAGTTTACCTGAGGAACAAAGAAGTGTGTCCTGGCTAGCGCCATTTTTGGGATTCTGGGTGTCTATCACTAAGATGTGGGTGTTTGAGAACTAGGAGGAGGATATAGCTCCTGGAAGGGGAGCGGTGTGAGGGTGGGACATCAGACCTGAGGAGAGAGGAGCAGTAGTAACCCTGTGTGAACGGATGACGGACTACTCCTTACGCTCCCTGCCTCAGAGGAGGGAGTTGCATGGCATCTCCTCTTTGGGCCTGTGAGTGACCTCAGGTCTCCACAGGTACCTTTGGAAAGACAGCAGAGGGCCCTGGGCTCACATTTACACCAAAGCCATGAAGAACGCTGGTTGAAAGGAGCAAGGAGAAGGTCAGGAGGACTCAGCAGATACCCTCAGCTGGGTGTTAGGGGGCCACAGAGCAGAACAAGCCTCTACA